ATAAAAATAGGATACGCTGCGAGTTATGGTTGAAAAATGGTAAAAAATGGGCACTTTTGCGATTTTGAGGCCCTAGATGCATTTTTTTGGGTAAGTTCGTTCTGCATTTTTTTTCTCCTATTCAATACCTACAACTTTGCTGAGACACAAAAACAATATTCCCTACGGTTCACCGAGATATAGCCTCGTGAAAATGTCGAAAAAGTGCTCAAAGTCCAGTTTGAGCCAAAAATACATAATTCCATAAAATGAAAAAGGTAGCCAAGTTGGCAAAACGAATGATGCAGAATTTCTAGTTTTGGTAAGTACTTTCAGCAGCGATACTCAAAACTTATGCCCGCATCGATGACCGAAAAAATGTTGCACTGTCTTATGAATGAATAATGGTTTTTGTCCTAGGGGCTTTTTACTCTTTTTCATATATGTGATTTGTACGGATAAACGCGCATAGATTGTGTGCCACAGTGAAGTGTGTCGAATTTTGCACATAGTCACGAATATTACGCATAGAAGCGAATACGCGTGCACATAATGACGCCACGATGCGATTTAAGACGCATCAACACAATGTCAACATTCTGTTGTATCGTTAAGTTTCGTTCAAACAATATTTGACATCAACAATTTCTGTCTTTAATATTTATCAAATCTCTTGCTAATGAGATTGTTCTTAATTGATGAAAATTGAATTTAAATATAACACAAAATTAAAATATAATAGCAAAGAATAAGAATGAAAACGAAAATCAAAATGTTATATTATACAAATATTGAAGTAAAATCGCCGATAGTTTTGGTAGATATAAAAATCGACGATTCATTATACTTGGAAATAGCATCTGGATTATAAATAATAAAAAATCCATATGTACAAATGATTGAAGTTAACAAAAATGATCAGCAAAAAATGTGAGCCGAAATAAATACAAATCAAACACTTGCAGTCAAGTATTTCTTGAATTTTTACATGAAAAAAGTCGTTGCACTTTGAATTCAAAATAGTCAATATTGTGGCGTGTGACCAATCAGAGAAGGAAACATTTTAGTAGGATTCATGCGAAATTATTCGCAGTATGAATGGTCTATGTGCAGTATTCGGACATCGAATGTGTGCACTTCTAACGAATAGACACCGCATAATACGCATAGTACGAAGAAATCGCCACATACTATGAGTTGAAGCGCATATTCTTCGCATAAAACGAATTTTTTTCGAGTTAAATGCCCCTAGTTTTTGTCCTTTTATTTTCTTTCTCTCTCTTTGTTGTTGTCCTAAATGCTAGTGTAAATGTAATGTATGTGAGGTACCAGAAAAATACACTATTCGAGGTTTTGGCCAAAATAAAATGCCATTATTTCGGAAAAATAACCCAAAAGAACCCTCATTTACCCAATATTTTAGTCAAAAATCAAATTTTTCATTTTTCTGTGTTTTGTCTTTTCTGCGTTTTGTCTTTCTGTGTTTTTTTTCTGCGTTTTGTCTTTCTGTGTTTTTTTTCTGCGTTTTGTCTTTCTGCGTTTTTTCTTCTGCGTTTTTTTTTCTGCATTTTGTCTTTCTGCGTTTTTTTTTCTGCGTTTTTTTTTCTGCGTTTTGTCTTTCTGCGTTTTTTTTCCTGCGTTTTGTCGTTTCTGCGTTTTTAATTTCTGCGTTTTATACGAGAATCCAATAAGCCCACCTTCGAAGCTACGGCCATTTCTCTTTTCATTAGCGTATTGTTTACCCAGATTCAAAATGTGATATTTCTGATTGCATTATTGTGGGCTATTCCTCTCACCATGACATTTAATCGATTAAGGAAAAGAGATTAACGCATTTCATTCAACTGAATTTCAGCTGAATCTACTTTGAAATAATAAATTCAATGACGAATACATGCAGGATATCATTTTCTTGTCAAACGGAAAAGTCATTGTGTCAATTTTGTATCCGATTCATTTTCAACTGGACCAATACTATAGCAATTTATCATTGTTCTTCATTCATAAAATGTAGAAATAAAATCATTTTGAAACACGACACATTTTATTAGTATGACATTATGCAGAGATTCATTCGCTTGACCATAGGACATAGTGATAGCGAGAGAAGGACGAAGATGGATCGAGAGAAAGCCAGAAATACGATTGGTCATCAATGTTAGAGCAAAAAGTCGAGTGAGAAATTGTCTGACGAAGGGTACCCCATTCATACTTACAGCTTTTAATTAGAAATTGAATTCAATGGAAATCGACAAGTGCGCTGATTCAGTCAATCCAATATGGCAATATTCTGCAAAGCCGCAATCGAAATGACAATCCCATAATTATGGCTGACATTTTATCTATTTTTTTTCGCTTTCTATATAGATTTGGATAAACGTTGGCTGATTAATGATTATTGGGAATTATTTTGTTTTTGAGTATTAATGGAGCCAAACTGACAAATCGTAAATCGACTTTCGACAATGTTCGAAAGTGCGGTTTATCATTTTTTCCGCACTTCAAATATTCAACGCGACAATTTCTTATGGTGTTAAATCGCACCGCCATTTATATATGGATGTAAACGAAATGTTGATTTGGTATCGTTTGTGTGACAGCAAATGATTTAATCACATACGTATTCCGTCAATAAATTATTATTATTTCCATGTTGGTGGGCAGTCCTCCCTCTCTCTCTCTCTCTCTCGTTCTGTTCCGTTGTTTCTCCCACCCGTCGCTGCGCTCCGATTCGTAGTCATGCATAATATTAATGGCAAAGTTTCATATTAATACAATAATGAATGCTTCGAACGCACATGGTAACAACTATGCCATTGGCACTTTTGACAAAGATGTTTGGAGATGTTTTTTTTTTTCGGTGGTGACCTTATTGTGGAGGACTTCTTTTGAACTGGATAATGGGTACCTTGCCCCGAAGCTTACGATCTACCAAAAAAAAATCTAAACTACCAGCGACGTGGTTTTGCCCATGTCTGGCTTTGGAATATTGCTTTCCAATTTTATTTTCCATGGAAAAGTCTGTGACCCAGTATGTGGGAAAGTAGTTTCGTTGCCACCCCTCGTAATCAATCGGAAAATTCGACGAAAGGAATTATTTAATAAACCAACAACGCTGTTTGATATCCATACGGCTAGTTATGACATTTTAACAGCACAAATACCCTCAAATTCTCCGAAATTATCAAACGAATTCAACTGAAAAACACTCACTCAAGTATGGTGTGTTATTGTCTCATTTTATTCATATCCTTTTTCAATGAGCAGTAAATCTCTTCATTAAATTACAAATCAATCTCTTAATCACTACGTTGGTAGTCGGTACACGCATAGAAATGTCTATCAATTCTTACAACGCTAATTTTTATTATTTTATGTATAAAAAAAATGGTGTGAAGCTCTTGTTGATGCATATTCATGGTGTAAATTGTGAGTTTTGTTTTTATTTCAAATGTTTATTACTCAATTGATTTATGTTTTTCCCATAAGTTTTTGTTTGTCTTGCATTGCTGCAAATTTTTCATTCTTCATTTTTAATTTGACAAAATCACATTTGTATTTTCTATCCTGAAAAAAGTGTTGATTGGAAAACATTGAAGGCGTAGATTGCTTCTAAAAGTGTTTTAACTAATTGTATGGAAGAATTGGTCCAGGGTATTAGTAATTTTGATTCTATTTGGCTGACTGTGACGGCTCATCGACTTCAATTTGCGCGTTTGCATCATCGTCTTCATCCTCTTCCATCAATTCACGGGCTCGTAGAACTGCCTCAAACTCATTATAATGTAATTTACGGCGTCTTTCAAAATCTCTTCGTTTCTCTGCAGATAAAATGAAAGTTGGAATGGTGCACCATTTAAATTTCAATACACGTATTCATAATTGCTATTTTGAATTTGCACTAATTGCATCGCACTCGACACCCACATCACTTATTATTATATTGCTATACAGCGATCGATGTTTAAATTTAGAACACGTGTTGCATTTCGTCAACTTACGTAATTCCTCTTCGGTTTCAATGATTTGATCCTCATCGCTGTCATCATCCGATCGATCAACGAATTGCGAGTGTGTCAACGTTTTTTCCAATCTACACGTAAAATCGATATGAAATAAAAAAACACAGAATCGTCAACGTTTATTGTGGGAAAAGTATCCAGAGAATAAAACATTCGAATTACGATATTTATTGTGTCAGAACGAAAAAAAAAAAATGATTGCGTTTAAGAGGGGAGGGTAAATTGGGTCGATTGGTGCTTACTTTTCGGCCAGCATATTAGCATCTAGTTCGTCGACATTGACATCATCGTAATGGAACGGTGTCTTTGGTTCATTGATTTTCATGTGGCCGTAATCTTTGTCGGCAGGATGATGCGTCAGTTGTACATTAATCTCATCAAACTTCGTACTCTTGTTGATGCTGTTCCGTGTGTGTGTTTTCCACATGATGCATGAATCAAAAAGATAAATCACATCAAAATTGGTATTGTTTGATGGGCCACAAATGATTGGCATACACTTACCCAGGCGTTTCATGTTTTTCAAAACTCTTGGATGTTTTCAAAATACCTTTGACCGGGCTGCGATGATGCTGGTGTGCGGTCGATGATGCTGGCTTATTCGTTGCCATAATTTTGCGACGCAAAATAAACACGGAATCAAATACAAACTGGTACAAATGTCCAAATATATGCAATTGATTTAATCAATTTCCAATGTAATGTGGCCCCGTCCGAAGTTTACTTCTAACCAAATTCGACGGATTCTGCACGTTTTCTAAAAAAAAGGGACCGGATCGATACAATTTTGGCTTCACTAAACACAACACAATTCAACAAAATCTATACCAACAATTTCCAATTCACTGCACTGTAATTTAATTTGCTGGAAAGTTTTACACGTAATCCGTCAATATTTCAATAAAAGCACTCAAATATGCAATAACTTTGAGGCTGGTTCCAATACCAAAAAAAACACAAAATATAATTTAGAAAAAATTAAATTCCATTTATAGAAAATCTCTATGTTTTTATTATGAATATCATTTTGATCTGTCACTTTTCGCTTGACTTTTTGTTCCGATGAATTGATTGGCAGCGCGGCGAAAAATTGCTCAAATACCGAAGAAACGATGTGGCGAATTGGAATTTGTCGTACATCAGTCGAACTGCGACGTCATTTCAAATCAAGGTACTTTGTAAGGTTTTTTCTTCATTTTTTATGAGATGACAATCGAATTTGTGCAAACAATTTTGAAGAATTTTTTTTCCGGGATTAGGCAAATTTGTCAACGATGCGCTTTTTAAGGGGGAAAAAAACCAAACGACGTACATTTTTTTTCATAATTTTATTCCACGTAATTTATCAACATGTATTTTATTTTTGAAAAAATGTTTCATGCAGCTGATAAATGCAGTTATCAGCTTCTGTATGAGATGCATTCATCCCCCGATTAAAACCATTTTTGTATTTAATTTCAATAAAACTGTTCACAAGGTACAAGATTTTTGTTTTTGTTTTTGTTTTTGTTTTTGTTTTTGTTTTTGTTTTT